AACGAAACGTGGTTTTACACGTTACCGGTATAGAGCTACGTTCTATTTAACTTTTAATTCAAATTATGAATATTTGAAATGAACGCAAAAATAAATTGATGAGATGACGACAAAATAAAATGAAAAAATGAAAGATTTACAGAGGTCCTTGAGAAGTGCAATAAGAACAACACTATGTGTTCCTGAATAATGCAAGTCTTTAATTTATAATCAGCAATTCAAATCTTGGTAAACCTTTGAGAAAGTCTGTCAACAACGAGACACCAAGACATACTGCGAGTACCGAACATGTAGGCCTTTACATGTATTTTGTATCACACATAGACCTGTAAACTTTATCAAACTGCCTACAAAGACAGAGTTATAGACAATCAAGTGAATAGCACCTTATCAAAGAGATTTAGATTTATACCCAGACAATGAGCAATAGGCCCAAGGGGCCTGCATTGCTCACCTGACTAATTTAGCTAATCAGTCATTTAATAAAAAAAAAAACATAACAAACAACTTCTGACATGATTCACTATTCATAACAAGACCACCATTTATAGAGGAGGAGTAGGATTTTTTCTAATCGCTCAATTACCCCTAATGGGCCATGCCCCTCCTGCCCCAGGGGGCAGGGATCTACCGTTTATACAAAACTGTTTCCTCTTCACCCAAGAACTCTTCATACCAAATGTGGACAAAATCCTATCATCCCTACAGGAGGGGTCGGAATTTCAAGACTTTATTCTATGATCCCTATTGGGCCCCGCCCGCTAGGCTCAAGGAAGGCCGAGACCTACTATTTATATTACATGTACAAAATTGATTCCCCTTCACTCAGCAATGCCTCAAACTAAATTTAGATAAAACCCAATCATTCCTATAGGAGGAGTAGGATTTTACAGAATTGGCTCTATCATCTCTATTGGGACCCGTCCCTCCCGCCCCATGGGATCGAGATCCACCATTTATATAAAATTGACTCCCTTTCACTCAGCAAAGCTTCAGACTAAATTTAGGCAAAACCCAATCATATCTACAGGAGGAGAGGGATTTAAAGGACTTGCCAAATTTTCCCTTTTTAACTAGAGGATGTTGGGAATGTGAGGGGCAGGACAAAGTTGTTTTTCCTGGGGATGCTTCTGACCAAATTTTGTCAAAATCCCCTCAGTCGGTCAATGACTAGTATTGTTTTAAAGAAAAAAAATGACAGATGACACATGGACGACGGACAACGGACGGTGGACGACGGGTGCGGCGGTATCCCTTTAGCTCAATTGGCCCTTCGCGCCAGGTAAGCTAATAAAACTGCATCATATAGCTGATGCTATGGGCTTAAATTGAGAAGCCTATGATGCAAATGAGAAAAATCCATAGTGACCAAATTAGATATAAAATTGTAGATAGGGAGGTGCAATAGCCATGAAATTCAATCATTAATGTAATTTTCATAAGTCTGATAGTAAACGTGTATATTCTGAGCCGTGCTGTTATTCAAATGAATTAAAACGTGGCATGCAAGTTACGACAGACTTCTTGGAGTAATAGTCCACCAGCAATGTTAACTAATTTCCTGTCGTTTCTTCACGGAAATAAATTATTTTACACAAGTTTTCTTTAATGAAACTGTACGGTAGACCGGAAATAAGGTGCTACCGAAGCGATGAGGAGAAAATCCCTAAATTAGCTTTTCAAAGTAATGTCATTAATCAAATCTTTGCACAATCAGAGACAGCACAGAAATTGCAATTATGTAGATGTTTATATTGAAAATGCCACAAAACCAATAACAGTTCGTATACCTGTGGGATGTCGTTGTTAATTTTGTTCACTAGAGATAACACATACTACAGAGCACATATACTTCACCTGATGTATATGAGGGATTGTTTAACATAACAACGAAAGTGTAATAACTTCGCTTGTGCTGCTTAATTTCAATATTTTAGAAAACCTTTGTGGGAATCCATTACAATTTCGCGTTTGAGTGTTCAACTCCTGAATAATTCAAACAGCCGATATAAAGGGGGAAATAATTTACGTCCTGTTACCACACAATTTCTGTATTAATGACAAAGGGTAACCACAGACGCTGTAGTGACGGCAAAGGGTAACCACAGACTCTCTATAGTAATGACAAAGGGTAACCACAGACTTTCTATATTAATGACAAAGGGTAACCACAGACGGTCTATAGTAATGACAAAGGGTAACCACAGACTTTCTATAGTAATGACAAAGGGTAACCACAGATGGTCTATAGTAATGACATAGGGTAACCATAGACGGTATATAGTAATGACATAGGGTAACCATAGACGGTTTCTAGTAATGACAAAGGGTAACCATAGACGGTCTCTAGTAATGACAAAGGGTAACCACACAATTTCTGTATTAATGACAAAGGGTAACCACAGACGCTGTAGTGACGGCAAAGGGTAACCACAGACTTTCTATAGTAATGACAAAGGGTAACCATAGACTTTCTATAGTAATGACAAATGGTAACCACAGACGCTGTAGTGATGATAAAAGGTAACCAGGAGCATTCTTGCTCTATAATATTGACATTGTATATACTCACAAACGATAGGCGTTCTAAGAGTAATATAATCAACAGCACTCAATGGTTCGATCAATTGTCAACTTTAAAACTTTTAGACGGTCTTGATCGATCTACTTGTATGTACTCATAATTATGTACTGGATATCAGACCAACAACTGGTCTATCACACACTGGCGTTCTAATATACCGGTTTACAATATTGGCTAGCGAGTGTTCAGCTGAGGTTAAATTGTATGTTCATTTATGCATACGTCTTCGATAAAACCAATTACTGGATGTTGATAATTCTTTAAGCAGGGTAATTTCACTGTCAGATAATGAAAATTGACGAGAAATACATGCAAGATATACATGAATATGTTATACATCTAGACGTTCATTAAATCAAAAAAGGACTAATGACGGTGTTTACGAATATTTCATTTGGAAATGAAAATTCAGTGCATTATTATTATTATTTTGTCATTGTTATTATCATTTACAGTTAAAAGAAGATATACGTTGCATAATACATACTATAATTAAATATAAATAAAGAGTCTGGAGACAAGCACCTTATACCAATATACCTATAAGTCTCCCGGACAAAATTACATGAACGAAATTAACATTTATTGTCTATTCGAGAAAGATCTATAAAGAGCAAATTGGTTAAACGTTCTCTATATCAGTAACACGTGACGTGTTGTGACGTCATATTGAATGACTGCGCCATTGGATATATTCATTTTGACTCGGGTCCAAACTAACTAGGACTAAATTTTTCTGGAACTAATTATAATGATTAATATTTAATGAGATAAATTATACAAAAGACGGAAAGTCAAGAAAACTTCGCGTCTAAAGTTCAAACATGATATTCATAATAAAAGAGATAAAATTCCGAATAAATAATATATTTGATATATTTGTCCCTATACAGCGTTTTAGGTTTTTTGAATTGTTTTATAAGACTAAAATATAACAAATTCGTTACATAGAATTTTGACTTGATGTATCCGAGCACTAAAACTGCGCCAGTACCTGTGCTATAATTTTGTGCACACACTGGTGTTTTATGACCTATTGTGATGATGTATGATTGACATGACGTCAAATACTAGTCAAATGTATTGGGAATGTGAAGGCATTTGTTAAATAATTGTTAAAAATAAAATTTATGGGGAAGGTGTTTTCTGTAATATTTGCAACAAAGAGTTGTCCATTAAGTTGTTATAAATATCTAATATTGGTTTTCATTTCACCGTGACATTTATTAACCTCGTTACACACATCTACATTATTTAGTTTATTTTTTAGCTCGTTTTAATATTTAGAGTTTCCTCTGACGACTTAGTGAATAAATGTTTTATGCAGGGATTGGAAAAATCATCCGAATAAAACTTCAATTTAATTCGACCAGGTGCTAAAAATTACTCCGTAATAAGTTTGCTTTTAATTAACTTTTTAGATAATAATGGCATTTGTCGGGTTAGTTTTATTTCTTCAGAATCCGCATGCAGGGTAGGCGAGTGTATGTATACATACATTCGTGAAACTGGTTAATTCAATGCTTAACTATTGAAACAAAAATGTGTGTTCTATGCCCCCTGGTAAATACGATGGATTTCAAATTGTTTAATTTATACTGGATACTCTGGAGTCCTAAATGCGGTTATAAATGTAGGGTTCTCTTATCGCATGCACGAGGCCGCTGTATATGGTCGATCGATTTATCATACGGAGTTATCGTGCTGACAAGGCACCTATCATAAGGTTCTGGACGAGTAACCACCAAACTCTGTTGTAGAGTAGACCTAATGGGTTTGGTAATGTGAAATTACACCAGGCAAGTTCAGAGGTTTAAATCCGAGAAATCCTTACTTTTTTAATGATGTTATATAAAATCAGTTTGATTATAACATCTCAATGCATATCAAAATGAACGTAACGCAATCGTGCAGCGAAGAAAGATTAAAGCAAGTCGATTTATAAGACACAACTTTCATTAAAGATATAGACATAACCGCCTATTTATAGACCCTGGTGCTTAAGTAAAACTGTGCCGCTTTTAACTGTGTTAGGACTGCCAGTGTAACACACTGTTAAATCGATCTGATGCACTGAAGATTGTATGGCATGTACGTCGAACTTGTATTGCTGCTTTAAGTTATTCCTTTTATAAAAGACGATCGATATTTTTTGTGATATTCTACTGTTGAGTAATGTGGTGGGCCTTACATGAAAATCGATGCTTCTCCAAAATGACCTTTGACTGCCTGGATTCTCCCTGATATCCAATCAGAATCGGCGTTACAACTTCTTCGCGCCAAAGGTCTCGCGTGAGGCACGCGAAATCGCGGGAATTGAAAATATAATTGAAACTGATCTAAGAGAAACTCCAAAAAACAGCGGAAACTACAAAGAAAACTCTGTTAAAAAAGTGTCTTTTAAAGAAGTATTAACATGCCTCCAAAGAAACGTAACCCGGATAGCGATGTCAATCCCGCAGTCAAGCGTAAGAAGAAGAAGAACGACGATTCAGACGATGAATTTGACGACGATGCAGGGGAAGATGCAGAGAACAATGGTTCCACTGAAGTGGTCGGAGAATACCCAGACGTTGTGAGTTTGTAACTGTTGTCACATATTAATCACTGAAATGTGTTAAAGGGGCAGTTACTTCCTAGTTATCCCATCACATCAATGTAGTACCTATATACAAAATCGTGATCAGCTGATCGGTCGTGAATATAAAATGAGCCAAATGTGATCGCTTAGGCCGGATTGCTTCCTTGCTCCTTTTACAGCGATCGAACCCAAAACAAAGAATCCTTTATCATACACATACCATGTTGTTTGATTTTGAATGCTCTACAGCTACTGCGCATTCAATTAGTGTAGTTTAAACTTGTTTATGTATTATGCCACTGTATCATTTGGTATCCGTTAACTCTGAATTTAACATGGAAACAAAGTATAATGGATAATTCTGATATTTTCAAAGTCAAAAACAGTGATTGGGTTGAATGTAAACATGAAATTTTACAGTAATTTTTTTTTAAGATTACGTGTGTCATCATGCATGGAACATCGTTCTTGGAGTTTGTATACATTAATAGTTTTTTATTATTTATTATTATCATTTTGAAAGGTTACAATGTTGACAAGTCAAAATGCATATCTGGTGATTCTGTGCACCCAAGGGTGAACTCAACAGCTGTTGACCCATCAAGATCTCAAAAAAGAATCCCTGTCATTATTTTAACGAAAACATAGTAATATGGGTTCAGAATATTTGACAGATCACCAGAAGCGCATACAAAGATTCATGTACTATGTAGTGAAATCATTGTCATTGTTATGTATAAGGATTTTCAGATTTGCTTACAGTGTCATGATGTATATTTATATAGTTGATATATGTAATTATTGACAATAATAATAATTTTTGAAAAATGGAAAAGATGATACTGACTACCAGATTCACCGGTGTCTTCGCTGATGAAAAAAGTGAAATTACACTGTATTATCAAAATAAGGAGATTAGTTTATATTTATTTCTGACCATGATATTCTTGACTTAAGACGCTAGAGGGGTCAATGCTAAGTGGAGAACTACTGCTCTGTGGAGGAACAAACTGGGATCTGATTGGACGAAAACAACTCCCAAAGAATGGTTTGTAAAAAATATGCTCAATGAATCAATGACACATATTATAAAAAAATTATATTAAATATAATATTTACTTACTTTAAGCCTTTTGATGTTTTGAATGAAAAGAATATACAGGATTGTTTGCTGCATTTGATATGTTGAACACATCAAAAATGATCAAAAGAAAATGAAATTTTTGAAGATAGTAGATTATCCAGCAAATGGGTAGATAAGTTAATGCTTTGTCGCTTGTGATAGAAATTATTATATTTGACTTGGACTTAAACTTGCATTGATTATTATGCTTATTCATGCAGGGTGTGTTTGCATTGAAGATGCCCCTACATCCTTTAGAAATTGTGAAATGGACACCACAAAATTTTCAGGAATGTGTGATGTCTGACATATTTGTAGCTAGGTAATACAGGATATATTTTGATGCCTATACAAAAAAATTTACCAGTTCAGTATTAGTAGGAATTAACCAATGAACAATGTTTTGAAAAACAAAATCCTTAAAAACTGTTTAAAACTTGTAAAAGCTAATCCAGAGTTTTTGTTCCATGGTCTGCCAAAAAGCAAAGTTAGTGCCAGTGAAATCTGTGAAAAAAAGTTGAATGTTATAGACTGAAAATACCCAGACATATCTACCTTATAGATTAGGGCGTTGCAAATGCTTTTCAACTTTGAAAAAAACTGAGATGGTTGTTATTTCTTGTAGAGAGAGATACCCGGAAATATGTTCAGTTCTACGATTTATATTTAATACAATTGCACTCTCAGTTTTCTATTCGACAGATTTTCAGTATAAATTTAGTTTCTGGCTATGTGGAAAAACATTTTTGCCCGTAAATCAAACTTTTTATTATTGCCCAGTTTCAAATTTGCAATAAGACACAGGAATGTATTCATTTTATCTGTAGATATTATGAAACAAAAGTCTTCATCTTTTCGATCAATTTTAGAAAGATTCCCTTTACACAGTTTATAGATAAAGACAACAGACAATACCAGAATCATCCTTATTTTGTGGTGTACAAACATCACAAGAAATAGCATTACAAATCCTGTAAGTTGAGAGGATTACGACTCAGGTTTTGACTTCGAATCTCTATGGTGAATTCAGACTCAGTTTAAGTACTGTTTCCCTTATACATTGTTGAAAATATACTAATAGTTTTCTTTTTGTAGCTAAAAACGGAGGTGGACCAAACCTATGGGGTCCTCACAGAATGGACAACATGATCGGGACAAGAGTGAGGACAGTTGTGTCTGGGTCAACAGCATGTCATAGTGTTATCATAACAGCAGAAGGGAAAGCCCTCACTTTTGGTATGTTTCTTGAATTGTGTGTGATGTTACTTTAATGGAGAGCTGACCTATAACACCATTTAGGTAACTTTAGCATGGCAGTTCAGAGTCAAAGAGCAACATTCAAATATCAAGAACCTCAGATTGATCCTGTCAAGGATATTTTGTACACCATCCACAGCTGACAAGTGCTTATGCTAGACACATATCTAATTAAAGTGCTGGTTGTTCGGTAGAATTTACCACCAATTATATTTGATTTTTGGACATGAACTTGTGAATGCTTTTGTAAGGCCTGAAATGTCTCCTTACAGAAGGTTGTCATCAGGTGTCTGCATAAGTACACAGGTTACAAACACATGACTGATCCAGATCAATTCAAAGAATACTGCTTTGTCTTTCTGTTTCCTCTCAAAAAACTTCTTTTGATAAAGTATTGCGACTTTGACTTGTCAGGCCTCTTTATTAGTGACACACTTTTTAAGTTATGTACAGGGTGATGGAATTTTAAAAAATTGGATCAACCGGTTTTTTTTTTATTATACTGCTAGGTGAATCTTGCATAGTAGAATTGGATCTAATGATATGATTTTATCAAGAGTTATGTTCCTTTATTTTTTTTTTTTTATCATCAATCTGTAATTTGTTACAACAGTGATTTTCCTCTCTGTTTTACAGCAGCAAATAGACCGTTTCCAATAAAAAATTATTCCTTTATTTTCCAAATCCAAAGAAAAAATATCAGGATTATGTTTGATCTATCTGTTTTATATTGATTCACGCTTCTAACATTATAATCTGTTTGTAGGGAGGAATGACATGGGACAGCTAGGGCAAGGTGATTGCTTACGTAAAGATGTACCTACCCCCATCCCCTGTCTAGATGGTGTCAATGTGGTAGATGCAGCTTGTGGAAAAAATCACACTTTATTTCTGACAGGTAAGTTATATTTGTTTCAAAGTAAATTTACGTTTTTGATGATCAGAAATCAGTGTTCCCTATACATATGATATTCAGCTTTTTTGATGTGCTATTGTTAGAATAGCACATCACCCAAATGTTTGCTTCTTACTAAAGTCTTGCTTGATATGAGTCTGGAGGAAAGCATTGTTATTGATTCAATTAAATTAAAGATTGTATTAATACTTCTGATGTTGATTATTTTGAGATTCCTCATCAACTAATACAATAAGGTTTCATGTAAGCAAAGATAATGATTATTAAAAGAAAAAAACTGGCTGAATTTGTCAATACAAACAATGATTGAGCCGTTTTGATCACAAATTGACATCATGTAAATTTACCTTTCCAATTTGCTTCATAGAAAATAATGATTGTGATTGTAGATAAAGGTGTAGTGTATGCCTGTGGAGACAATAAGATGGGACAACTTGGTTTAGGTCACCAGAGTGGAAATATAACCAGTCCTACACGGGTATGTCTATATCACGTTCAGGTATACAGTAACGCCTCATGCAGGGTCAGGCTTTCGTAGTTGTCATTAAGATACTCGTTTTCAGACAAGATAATTTCTTCTGGGCATCAAACAAATGTAGAATTGAGCTAATGAATATTTATATGTTTTAATACATGTATCCGAGGTTTCCTGAAGCTTGGCATAGATCCTTCTTATTTCATCCATTACTGGGTGAGATGTATTTCTGAATTTAGATACCTCCTAGGAATTTACCAAAGGAACAAATTTTACATTTATGAGAAAAAGGACGACACATGGCAATATTTTTCATAAAACTTACAAACATATGTTACATGTGAGCTAATGTGTATACATGTTGGTTACTATCCGTATAATTTAACTGATACTTTACTTTGAATTAATAGGTAGTAAATTGAACCGTGAAGAGAAGTAATTGATTACTGGGGTCAAGCAGATGTTTTACTGGAATAGCACTATCATGTCTGTCAAAAGCATCAATAAAAATGAGATGATGTCTGCTTGTTTACCCTGGCTTCAAATTTTATCACCATTGTATAAGTTCTTATACCAAACAATTTTCAATAATTACCCTTAGAAGCCAATATAAAACACACGAATTCAGACATGTTTCAAATGAAAAACTTCAGAAGTCAAATTGTTTTTGTAGATATCCTACAAAGGCCCTCCAATAAGAAAGATGTCCTGTGGAGCAGAGTTCAGTATGATATGTGACATCAGAGGCAACCTGTATTCCTTTGGGTGCCCAGAGTTTGGTCAGCTAGGTAAGTTGAACAGTGACATAGAGAAAGAACCTGTTTTTCAGTTTTGGCTTCCCAGAGTTTTGATCAGCTAGATAGTGTCTGAGGTAAAAATTGCTATGAGATTAGACCTAGAAGGATTTTCTACTCGTTCAGATGCTCATCTGCTAGGTAACACAGAACAAGTTTTGGTCACTTAGAACCATTTGGCTGCCCATTGTTATGGGTAGCATTCCTTGGAGATGGATAGCAATGCAACGTTTATCAGTTCTCACATTAATTTATAAACAAAAGATGAAAAAATCTGGGTTTAATGATATACATATATGTCTCATATTTTATTTCCTTTCAGGTCACAATACTGATGGGAAATATTTCGTCACAAGCACAAAATTATCATTTAAATGTGAAACTGTTCCCAGAAAAGTGAATGTGTTTATTGAGAAAACCAGAGAAGGACATATAGTACCAGTCACAGATGTAGAAGTACGAGATATGGGATGTGGCACAAATCACACAGTAAGTCTGCTTCAATGCCTCTTGTTAGCTCAAATGTTTTAGGATGTATATATCTTTCAAAAATGTCATTTTGCCTGTTAAGATATTGTAAATAATGTGGAAAAATTTATGTCTGAAGGAATTTACACTAAACATGTGGAAGTCTTCAAGTATGTAAATTTCACTGGTATGAATGTATGACGTATCACATACAGATCAAATTATACATTTGATATAACATGCACACGTCAGTTTGTCATTTGAAAATGTGAAATGAACCTCCCATGGTAACAGCTACATGAACAAGATGAAAACTCAACTGAAACATATTCAGTGGAGAAATAAAGGTGAAAATTTGAATGCCCTCGCCATGTAACTGAAGGGAGCATAGCATTATCTATGTTGGACGGTCACGTCCCAATCTGATTCAGTGTTGTATGTACCCATAGTGTCATGAATGAGTTCTGCTTATTAGGGTCATTGATTAAAGGTCAGAGGTCACATGTCAACTTTCATACATTCATCAAACAATGATTCCATATACGTATACACAGATTCTTGCTAGAATTATATATCACTCTATAATCGTAATTTTTACTTGGATTCCACTAAGTAGTTGGATAAAAAAGAACTGCCATGGAAGGGGACAGGCTAAATGCCTGTCCACTTGTCTTGACTGTGTCAAAATTGAAAATGAAGATAGGAATTAAAACCACAATTGTTCTTAGTGAAAATAAAAGATACATACACTAGATATTATGGTGAATACTCAATCAAAATACCAAATCAAAGCTAAACATTTAAAGCAAACAATAAATCCATCAAAAACAACTTTCTTGTTTTGTGGTTAAAATTGCAAGTGTAAGTGCTTTGAAAAGATTAACCTATAATATATGTGATGAATGAAGATAATATATTGCTATTTATAATTTGTAATACCAACTTTGTATACAGAAAATAATTTTACTGTAGATGTTTTCTGAGACTTAGAACAGTGCCTAGTGGTTTTGGGAAATTAACCAGAGTGCTGACAGTTTGTATAGTGGAAATATATGATGTATATTTGTATGTCGTTTGGGAAAAATCCTGTAAATCAACAAAGACCTTTGGTAGGTACCCTGATACATAAGATGTGGTATTTAGTTTTAAAAAGAATGTTTTTATATTTCAGGTTATACGTGATTCCAAGAAGAGAGTGTTTTCATGGGGATTTGGGGGATATGGCCGTCTGGGCCATGCTGAACCAAAGGATGAAATGGTTCCACGTTTATTGAAGTTTTTTGATGGACCAAACCGAGGTTGTGTTCAGGTGTATTCTGGGTCTACATTCAGCTTTGGACTGAATGAGTTAGGTGAGAATTTCTTCTTAACCTTTCTCTTGGGGAAATAACAAAGAGGGTTGAGTATAGGATTCCTATTTTCAAAAGGAGTTAGGAAAGCTATTTATTGATGGAAAGGGGGGAAAATTAACACCATTGTAACAATACCATTTTGAAAATCGTCTGAAGATTGCATGTGCTGATTAAAAAATCCCTTTTCTGTCGGAGCTATATGTGAAGTGTGATCAGGGCAACCTGCTATTGATGTATTTGTTTTATTATAGGACCATAGCTCTTCATTTGAATAACCACAAGTATATGTAGACATTCATACGATAATGGTGTGGGGGATGGAGAATGTCTCAATTAATATCTCTGTGGTTCAATTAGTAATAGAGAAGAACTTTATCAATCCGATGTTCTACATTGTATTTTTGGCTAACACTGATGACAAATATATATACATCCAATTGTAACTATCGTCACACATTCATTCATTTGACTGACAGAACATTGTACATTGACAGTGATTAAGACGTACATCTAGGTTTGTGAGACAGGTGTTTTTTATCTGTTTATGTAAAACTCCACTTGTGTCAAATACATCGGATGAGTCTAATGTTTTGTTCGGTCCCGAATTTTTCTCTTCTTTATCTTAGTAAATAAAACAGAGATGACTTGGACTTTGTTGAGTGGAATGCTGTGTTTGTGTCGAACATATATTGTGGTCAATCCCTTCTAAATTCTACCAAAATTTCCTTTTTTTGTCTCGAATATTCAGGCATCACATTGTCTCGGGTAAAAAATTCCTGGCTTTGGTCCAAATTACTACTGATTATTACTGTTAAGCACACAATGTTTGTCAGGTGTCCTGTATGTGTGTAATATATCTTCATTGTTTGACAGATGTCCTGTGTCAGAATTTGTTTGACAAGTGTCCCATATCTGTAAATATACCTGGATCATTTTGACAAGTGTTCTGTATCTGTGTGTATATCTAGATTCATGGGATAGGTGTCTTGCATCTTTGTATGTACCAAGGCTTGTTTAACAAGTGACCTGTATCTGTTTATATACCTAGATTTGTTCAACAGCATGTCCTTTTTATTTTAACAGGTGTCCTGTATCTGTGGGGCCAGACAAAACCAACAGGTGAAGCTGCCATGTATCCTAAACTAGTACAAGACCTGAGTGGCTGGAGAATAAGGAGCATTGGATGTTGGTATGGATAGCTTTTCTGTTTTTGATCAAATGTTCAAGATTAAATACAAATTGTGCTTTACTTTTTATCAAACTATAAAACAAATTCTTGTATCATACATCATTAAGGCTTTAAACTTTTGTTATAAATAAAGTTTCTCAAGTGAACAATGTTAATTATGAATCATGGATATTTTATTTTACTAAAAATTTTGCCTTTTCTTGACAGTTAATTGGATTTTATTGGGTATCAAACCAATGATAAAATTTTATTTTTACCTCATAATTGAACTTAATGTCTCTTCTTCAAATGAGACATATCACATAAGTACTGGTTCTTGTCCAGCCATTAATCTTAACTTTTGAAGATGTCTTGACAAAATTTGCAGCATACTGGCATCACTTAAAGAAAATGTGCTGTGCACTTTCAATAGGTCACTGTTACCTTGACACCAAGGTCAAAGGTCAAATAGACCATTCACAATTTTTATCTTATAATTCTTATGCGGGTGATAACTTAAAAACATTGAAAGTTTTCTTGGTGAAAGTTTCTGTATACTTCGGAAAGAATCATTGCCCTTTGTTTAAGTTTTGTTTCTGATAAAAAAAAATTTCAGGGAGCATTCATCAGTTTCGCTTGTACACTTTTTTGTATATAATAGTTGGAAACATTTATCATTGATCTTCAGTGTTCAGCTTTTTTCAATTTTTTTCTTTCCAGTAACAAAAGTGTAGTGGTAGCAGCAGATGATAGTCTGGTATCATGGGGACCAAGTCCTACCTATGGGGAATTGGTAAGTTGTATTCTGGTATGATAAGGACCACGTCCTACCTATTGGGTATTGGTAATTTATAGTGTGGTATGGTAAGGACCAAGTCCTACCTATGGGAAATTTTTAATTTATAGTTTGGTATGGTAAGGACCTATGGGGTATAAGTAAGTTATAGTCTGGTATCACGTGGATAAAATCCTCCCTACGAGGAATTGATAAGTTATAGTCTGGTGTCACATGGATAAAATCCTCCCTACGAGGAATTGATAAGTTATAGTCTGGTATCACATGGATAAAATCCTCCCTACGAGGAATTGGTAAGTTATAGTCTGGTATCACGTGGATAAAATCCTCCCTACGAGGAATTGGTAAGTTATAGTCTGGTATCACATGGATAAAATCCTCCCTACGAGGAATTGATAAGTTATAGTCTGGTATCACGTGGATAAAATCCTCCCTACGAGGAATTGGTAAGTTATAGTCTGGTATCACGTGGATAAAATCCTCCCTACGAGGAATTGATAAGTTATAGTCTGGTACCTTAAGGACCAATACAAGACTTACTTACAGAGAAACTGGAAAAATGTCTTTTGAGATAGCACTTTTGCTACCAGAACTGAATAGTTATGAGAGAAAAGAGCTATGTAGGTATGCATAATGAATTTTTAGCTCAGCTGGTGTTTTTTTATCGAATCACCAATATTCTTATTTTCAAAAACTCTGGTAATATGACATCGTATTTTGAAAATGATTTTCCTGTTTAAACACATTCATCCAAAGATCACTGTGAATTTGTGTGTTTTCCTTGTTCTCTCTCCTCCAAGGGGTATGGAGATGAATGATGAAGTTTGCTGCCTTCCTTATTTCAGGGTTATGGGGACAACAAACCTCGATCATCCACAACGCCACAGGAAGTGAAGACCTTAGACAATGTGTACATCCACTCTGTGTCATGTGGATATGGTCACACACTTATGATTGCTCGTCAGGACGAGGACAGTGAAAAGGAAAGAATAGCCAAACTACCCGTCTTCAAACCTTGATTTTGTGACTATCTTGTCTAACAAGATATCTGTGTATTTGTTAGTGTCTTAGAGGGGTACATTGTAGTCGTATCAGGTAAAATTGTTCATCCAAAATTGTACAAATATCAGATCAAGGAGGTGATGCCACAGGTTTTGTTTACATATTGAATCTACAAAAATATGTATACTTGTTTTTTAAAAGTGCTGAATCTTCACCTTTTGATCAGTCTGGTAGAGATATTTTTGTTAAATACTGTTGACCTACATGTAATGCATTGTAATGATGTATGAAGTGAGTGGACTAATGATCTTAATGAAAGTAATGACCGTAGTTGAAATAACCAGAACTTTGGTTAAATGTCTAAGTGAATTCTGAGGACGTGATTTGAATGAAAAATAGACATGAAACTCTGCTGTAGATTGAAGTGTTGGGGACAAACATTTTACAACGGGCCATTCTAGTTAGGCACCACCTTAACCTCAGAATTACAAAGTAAATCTCTTCTATGAGTGGTGTCGTTACCTACTTTTTACTTTTAGGCAAATTATCAATTGAATTAAATTGGTGATACCTCTTTACAACACCTGTAGGTTTGGATGAGGCAAATTATCAATTAAATAGGTGTTACCCATTTACAAATCCTGATGTTGTAATGTTGAAAAGATGTTTTACTTTACGAGAATTGTCCTTTTTCTTTTGATGTTAAAAACGTTCAAATCTTCAAATATTTGGTGTATTCAGGTATTAGGAGATGGATATAACTGATACTTTGAATAAGATGAAATGTTTTTTTATTAATGTTAGATATGATTGTTGAAGTCCAAAATGCAGCATCTTCCTGATGTAATTGATAATGATGCAGAATATTGAGACAAATTAAAACTATTTTTCAAAACGTCTTGCCTTGAACTACAGGTGTGAACTAGAAACGACACATGAATTGTTTTATTGTCGATTATTTACCACTCACAGATCATAATCATTAATTTGCATACATGTGATTTGAAACCTATTAACAGATGCAATTGCTCTATCATAAAGCCTTGACCCTGGTTTCAGCAATATTCAAAGGTATATTCTCATTCTTAGATTAGAGAACAGTCAGTAAAAAATAATGTAATGTTTTAAAATATCATTTTAGATTAGGTGTTCTCAAATTTAAGAATGAGAACGTACTTAAGAATGGGCCTGGGGAACAAAAGCTCTAAATTTGTCCTTGTGGTCAAGAGTGTTTCAGGGGAAATGACCTTCGAGATGTAATTAATTGTTTGGTCTTTTGTGTATAAAGGAATAGCTTTATTAAAACCAAATCATTTTTCCAACATCATTTTTTGTACACTTTTTAAAAGTTCGGCACAAGTACCATAATTTGTTTCGTTTGTGATTAGTCCCTGTCAAAATCAACCAACTGTTTGCCACACTACAATCAATCTCCACATGTTCATCACATACCTCAATGAATCGTCACTATTATAGGCAATAAGTCTGTTATTTGAAAAGTAACCTTTTTCAAATTATCAAAAAAAATTTATGCTGTTTATAACTTAAGTCTTCGTGTTTCATCCTGATATTTTTTGTTGCATCTTTTGGTAATGACAATATGTGTGATGCCTATGCATAAAACATCAGTAACATAATTTTGGTAATTGTCAGCACTAGATCCTCTCCCTAGTTACAAACACAAGTCAGTACAGCACTAGATCCTCTCCCTAGTTACAAACACAAGTCAGTACAGCACTAGATCCTCTCCCTAGTTACAAACACAAGTCAGTACAGCACTAGATCCTGTCCCTAGTTACAAACACAAGTCAGTACAGCACTAGATCCTCTCCCTAGTTACAAACACAAGTCAGTACAGCACTAGATCCTCTCCCTAGTTACAAACACAAGTCAGTACAGCACTAGATCCAGTCCCTAGTTACAAACACAAGTCAGGTAATCGTACATCACTAGATCCTGTCCCTAGTTACAAACACAAGTCCAGTAATCGTACATCACTAGATGCTGTCCCTAGTTACAAACACAAGTCAGTACAGCACTAGATCCTCTCCCTAGTTACAAACACTAAGTCAGTACAGCACTAGATCCTCTCCCTAGTTACAAAGTGATATGAGAAACTGTAGTTATTTATACACTACAAGTATCATGATAAATCATTTCCAACAAACAATGTTACAACAAATTTCTGTAAGAGACTGGGAAAACATTTCTGTTAGAGACTCGGAATACATTTCTGTTAGAGATTGTCAATCCGTTTCTATTCGAGATAGTGGATCTGTTCTGTAAGAGACTGGGAATAATTTCTGTTAGAGATTGTCAATCCGTTTCTATTCGAGATGGTGGATCTGTTCTGTAAGAGACTGGGAATAATTTCTGTTAGAGATTGTCAATCTGTTTCTATTCGAGATAGTGGATCTGTTCTGTAATCTGTTAGAGATTGTCAATCCGTTTCTATTCGAGATAGTGGATCTGTTCTGTAAGAGACCGGGAATAATTTCTGTTAGAGATTGTCAATCCGTTTCTATTCGAGATAGTGGATCTGTTCTGTAAGAGACCGGGAATAATTTCTGTTAGAGATTGTCAATCCGTTTCTATTCGAGATAGTGGATCTGTTCTGTAAGATAGTGGATCTGTTCTGTAAGAGACCGGGAATAATTTCTGTTAGAGATTGTCAATCCGTTTCTATTCGAGATAGTGGATCTGTTCTGTAAGAGACCGGGAATAATTTCTGTTAGAGATTGTCAATCTATTTCTATTCGAGATGGTGGATCTGTTCTGTAAGAGACCTAGAATAATTTCTGTTAGAGATTGTCAATCCGTTTCTATTTGAGATGGTGGATCTGTTCTGTAATCTGTTAGAGATTGTCAATCTGTTTCTATTCGAGATAGTGGATCCTTGCTTATCCATTTAAAGTGGAATCTTTGGTCTTTTCATTGACATTTGCATCCTTGATACTCCAGGTGTTATGTTTACTTTCTTCACCCCTGGAACATGTCATATCAGAATTGAAGGTTCCATGTGCGACACATTGTTGACAGGGCGAAAATACTACTTTGATCCTTTGATGTACATCAAACCAATCTGGAGATCACGAAAATAGCTGTTGAGTGTTGCGCTTTTGTATCTTCAAAAGGATCATATCAGTCTGAGATTGGTCAGTCTTTTTATCCTGAAACCAATCAATTTACTTCGTCTGTGCCTTCAGTTTTGCCATGACCTTTTCCAGGGTGCAGCGAGCGAAATTGATCATAACCTCTGGAGAGTCAAGGATGTTGAAATTGTAGCGTATTTGCTGTAGGCTTTCTCGGATATGTTTTTTCACTCTCTTGTTTTTGGCTTTTTTTTGGGAGGGGAGATAGGTAGAGTGGACACTTAGTTGGTGGGCCAATCACAACCAATACTGATGTACAGCATTTCCTATCTCCCAGTTTAGATGTCTCAATTATATATGGACATTAAGACTGAACTAAGGAGTTTCAATTGTTATGTAAGGCATACAAACTTATATATGTATATATTTGAAGTAGAGATCTGACTTTGTATGAAATACATTTTGTTTTTGAAATATTATGCTGATTAATGTTCTTAATGAAAAATAACAATAATTCATTATAGATACTGCCTAGTCAGTGTTACTGTATCATCTTTGTGTGTTTATATCATAGTCAATCTGTCGTGTGTACATCTGTTAGATTTGACTGTACATCTTTCTCTTGTTAAAAGATAACGTTTGGAGCCAAGTTATGTAATGACCAATTATCATTCATTTGACTGGCACTTTGCCATCACTTTCTTCGCTGGCATTAAATTTTTGACTATACAGAATGTTGTCTCGTAGCCACTGTGTAAACAGTATAAAAATGATTTATACTTTTCCTGTTTTTAAAAAAAAGGGATTTTCTTACACATAAATTTGTATTTGGAACCTCATGTAAAATTGTTAAATATTGCCTCTTCCATCATTACTTTTTTAACTTTTTGATGATTTTTTTCCTGTCAAGGATTTTAGAGCTTTACTATCAAGTTAAATGTTAAAATGACACATGGTTTTAGCTATGCATAATAAATATATATACTTCAAAAAATAACACATTGTTGATATATTATGTTAAGTGTTGACAAGATAAAATATAGAATTTCATAGCTCACATGCAGTAATCCCAAGTTTTAACATTCGTCCAATTTTTTGATGTTTAAAAAAAAGGGATTTGGGTATAATTACAGGAGACTGTCCTTTGCCACAGTGGCTCATCTATATAGCAATAGAGGGGTCGAGTCTCAGGATGTTCAAGGGCACTGTCTTGTAACTTCCTTAATTGTGGGGGATTTTCTTACTGTCAGGGATCACCTACAACTGGGGTATCCTCAGTCTCAGAGGGGTTTCATTTGTCACAGTGGCTTGAGCTAGCTTCAGGAAATTTCCTTAGCCTGGAAGAATATCCTGAGCTTAGATTTCCTGAGCTTCAGGGATCAATGTTCTTATTCTCATGTATTTTCATCCGCTCAGACCATGGAATTTCCTTTACCTCAACAGGCTGTCCTTAGCCTAAAAGACTGATTATCCTAAGGGAATCATCCTTGGCCCAGAGTGGTGACCAGCTTACTACATGACAAAGGATTTGTAATGTGTGGTTTTACTGTGTAAAATCTGTAGAACATAGTATAACTGTTTCTAACCTGTAGACCTAATAGTAAACAGTGCTGTATCCTGTAAAACTTTCTCTCGTATGTTGTTATATATCCAGTTTTACCTCATGAATCAGTCTTGGAAATAAAATTTTGTGAAGGTTTACAAGAATAACATTAATTCCATCCATTTTTGTCTTCTTCTTACATATCTATGTACTTTACATTGTATATTGTGTACGGAGGTCATTCAAAGTACAAGTTATTATTTCTTTCTTTTTTTATTTTACTTAGACATGACCACTTATTTTCAATTGTAATTTTGATGGGTTTTTTTATGGTTGTATGTAGAGCTGTTGTAATAGGCTGCAGTTGCAATATCCTAGAACTGTGACAATGTTATTTCACTTCATATTGTGATAGTTTACAGGAAAATCAAAATAGCAATTATTTTGATCGTGCTTCCAGAACTTCTAGTATGTGTAACTCATAAAAGGTTATTACTACTATTCCAGTAAAGCATCTACTCGACCAAAATTAATCCAAAATAAATCTTTTGTATCTATGATGTGGTTTTCTGTCCGTTGTTTAATTATCAGTTAAATTCTATGGTTATTACCCCTAAACAAAACCTGGATTGGGATATAGATGTTTTACTGGTATAACCTTGAGGAACACTTACAGTTTCGAATTCTGTTTCAGGATTTCATTTTTTGAAACGCATTGAAAGCAAGATATCTGTTCTTACATGGGTTACTGAAAAGACATCCTTCTGGTATAGACCTGGCATGCTTTACATTCATTGACTGTAAGCTGTATACTTGTTGCATTAAAATGTCCTGGTGCTCTATTAACTATAAACTTAAAGGGAGATGTTTCCTATCAGATCAGTGAGAAAGATTATCTAGACTGTGAAAGTCCGCGCAATTGTTGATAAAAATATCATTAACATGACCAAATGTTACAATCAGGATACAAGCTCTGACTTATGTGGGTGCAAGTTTTCCTGACACGGCCGTGTCTCTTCTGTGCATGGTAGTAAATCCCCATCACAAAGACGCTAGTTACACGATTTCATCATCAGATCTTTCAATTATTAGATCAGCAAGTGCATCACACTGCATACAGGTAGATACACAACATAGAGTGCTATTTCATGGCAGTTTAAGGTCATCCTCTACAGCAATTTTACATCTACATTAACAATTTATCTCTAAGTTATCTCCCTTTGATTGAATAAAGTCCAGGAATTAAAATTTTGAAGTGTAGACTGATATTAGTTTGTTAAGTTGAAAGCTTGTTTTAAAAGCACTTTTTTTTAATCTTGTGTAAATAATGTAATGGTATATGAGTAGTCATTCTAAAGTGTGTATATAGAAAATATGTAAACCACGAGAGCTAACCATGGAAATGGCTTTATGTTGCTCTTAAACAAGAAATCCTCACAACAGAGTATTTGATGTTTATGATATTGATTGATTATTCTGAGTACATAAAATTATTTCATTTACTGGAGTTTTGCCTGTAAGTTTTGTCACCAAGATGCTATTTCAGTATAGATCTATAATCAAACGTTAAAAAAATACATGATTTTATCTCCAATCAAATATATTGATAATTTTTGGAAACTGGTTAATAGTAAATGGATAAATCAAGTTATTGAAAAATATAAGTTTTGAAGTCTAGGAGCAGAAAATGCAACAATAATTCTCTATGTGTATTAAAACTTCTAAAGCATTACATGAGATTTCGAAACTTTTGAATTGTGATCATTGTACATGAATAACTAGTATGTTGATCCACAGGTAGAGGCACAAGAATGGAATTAATTTGGATAGATACCAGTGATAATGAAATGTTATAGAACCCTGTAAAACAGTTGCAGCTTTAGCTAGGTGTGATATTTTGTTTCACCTTTCTATGGTAGATGATATCATGTGTGAACAGTAGTTTTAATCAAATCATAGATGTTTTTGATGAAAACTGAACAAAAAATGCAATATTTTCATTGTCACACACCTTGTGAATTTAAAATTTGCTTCATTTACAGATTATGTAAAAATGGGACTAAGTTTGTATTCATTGTAGTCATGCTACTGGATATCCAAGTCAGGGCCTATTGTAAAGATATTTATTTTTACTTGTTTACTTGTTCAGGTGATAAAGATTCTGTGAAAAGATTAAATAAAGCCTTTTTTTAAATATATTTTAAGAACATCAGAAACATTAAATATTGTTGCATTTTTCCTTAATATTGAACCAGATTGTTACTTGTATCAGCGACGTATATATACGTGCATCAAGATAATACACATACTTCAATGGTTTTCACTGCATACATTTCACTTGTCCCAGAATATCAATAATTGGTTGTTCTAGGAAGAAGCCATAGTGAGTAAAGAGGGTGAGAAGGTTGTGTGTATCCATGGCAACTCCTCACAATTAACATTGTACAAACTCATTAAAACAGTACCTCATATGATGTCTTTGAAATATGACAATTTTATTTACAATTGAATGTTTTGTCTTGAATTTTGAATTAGATTTCAGATTCAGTATATCAATAAAGTCTGTCTCTACAGATAAAAAAAAATCTGGCTGGCGTTTTTATATCCCTGTAGTTCAAAAATGTACATAGTATGTAGTTTGACTGAATAATATCATTCAACACATTTACTCTGCTATGTGTACACTTCATGTTTGACTCTACTCTTGTTGGGAGTCAAACCCAGATCTTGTGGGTTTCTGTCAATATAAAAATAGGAGTATCAAATTTTATCCATGCCACATTTTTGATACTGAAGAACAGGAAACAAAAATATGAAACATATTTTTTTCCAAATAGAAATCTGCTAGTTTAATATCAGCCATGCTGTCTTATTGTGAACATATGAAAAATTGGACACTGGGGAAAACCCTTCAATATTGTATCTTGTTTTATACAAGCACCTGTTAACACAACAAGCATGTTTCTATCACCAGTGAACACATTCATGGGAGCATGTTTAGTGTGAAGACATACAGGCATTACTTGTCCCCCAAGTGTTTACTGTTCTGGTATAAAGTGTACATAATAAGTTAAGATGGTCAAGTCATTCTGTTGCAGTCGCATACAGCTGTCCCCTTTGTGTATGAATTATACATTACAATTTTTATTACCCGTATTTGAACATTCAAATTGTAATTAATTACAATGAGAAAAAAGTATCAAATTCTTTGACCAAATTAATGACAAACACCTTGAAAATATTCACCAAGTTCTTATATATCTTGAATGGAGTGTCCTGTCCAACTTGTCCAAAACCAGCTACCATACATCAATAGATGTCAAACATTTTATATGATTAAGACATTTTCAAAATATTGCTTTCAACATCTTCATCAAATGTTGATTTGTTAAGATTGAACAAAAAAATCTCATTTGTTTTAAAAAGTTTATTTGACAAAATACATAGACATCAGAAAGACAAATGTCTTGGAGAATATACACCAGGATCGCCTAGCCAGCTTTGTCTAAAACCAGCTCCATTAAACACAAAATTATCCTTTTAACAAATTGCTTTCAAAATTTCATCAAAACATTCTCTTCATTTTATGGTATGGATATTGATTCTGTAAATTGTGAGAAATATCTTCAAATTTATACTGTAATAATGTTTAGATTAACTTTCAAAAAAAATGCAATGAAAGAAAAGTTTGACTTCTCCAAAGGAGCAAATGAATCATAACACAATCAAATTATTCTTTTATAACTGACTGTTGACAATTTAACAAGTTCTCTATCAGCTAGAAGTCAACAGAAATAGAATTATGTTGAATTTTACTGTGTAATAAAATTGTCCTTTCAAAGTTTGACCTCGAGTCTATGATTTCTATTCAGTCTTGAAAAAACATTCTGTCGCAAACCTTTCGTTCTTTATGATCAGATTTCTATTTAATTGTTCAAGATCCTAGAAACCATCACCTTACACATCTTTATCTTTCCAATACGTCTTGGCACATATTCCAAGACATTCAAGAGAAAAAACCATGAAATATCTTTTTCTTATAAAATTGACTCGAGTTGTGAGCCAATTTTGTCATGAACTAAATGTGTCCCCAGAGATTAAATAGGTAGAACCAATGTATAAGTGATGGCTTTTGTGCACTGCCCTTCTCCTTGTTGAGATCTACTTACCTTTAAAGTTTTATGTCGATATTTCTTATAGTTTTTGTGTTATGCTGCAGACAAAATTATGATGCACAGACAAACGGATGGATGGTTAAAGTGACAAATATATGTTCTCCCTCTGGGAAGCATAAAAAAAATCCTTGTGAAAATATCCCCTAAGTAACACAAGGATTCTTCCAATATTCATTTGAAGTAGCTGTAAGAAGCGTTGTTCAAGGACCATGGATCTGATGGTTACTGTAACAAAATTCCTCTGAATATCTAAGTTTAGGGACCTATGGGATCTTACAATGTTGAGGACTTAAGTCCTAGACAAATAACAGCAAGAAATAGATGGATTTCTGGGAGGATGGAGAAAAGTCCAACCACCTGAGCCACAAATCACTGACTGGAAAGTAGCATTGCCACATTTTGGTACTGTTAACAAAGCTCCAGTGTGTGTAAATAAAGAAAATTATCAGTATCACTGAAAGTAACTACACAATTCTTTTTACATATTCAATTTAATAGCACTAAAGAATGTAAATACAATAAACATACACGTGTCAGCACAGATAATTTTCCATACAGTTTAATATTCTTAGTCTTTCCAGGTATAATATCCACAACTTAATAATAGTTAAATTTGTCACTTCCATAACTTGTTGCCAGAACTCCCTCGTAATCTGAAATAAAGCAAGATTAATTATTATTCAGTAGAATACCAAAGCTATCTTGATGTTTTGTAAAAGGTGTACTGCCTCAATTAAAATGATTGAGGTAAGTTTAGAATAAAAAATCAACTCTATTCATTTACACAAGGGGCCAAAAATAGCCCTTCCCACCAACTGGACAGCCGTGCCAGTAAAAAGTTTTGTTCTGCATTCTGACTCAGGTAAACATATTTATAAGTCCATCCCCTCCTTTTCCTCCTGTTTCAGAGCACTAGGCCATACATGTTAGGGTTAACTATGATCCTGATATTTTGACTGGTGATTCGAAGGCATCTTTCATTCTACATACATCACAAATATTTACATCATAGTTTCTTTCTTCTCTGGGTACTTCTGAACCTATTTCAGTCAAATGTTTACCCAATTCAAATACTCCAGGTACATAGGTGTAAAAAGTTCCAAATGAACCAAAATCTTGTCACCTTGAATGTTTGAACCAATTTCAGTCAAATGTTTACCCAATTCAAATACTCCAGGTACATAGGTGTAAAAAGTTCCAAATGAACCAAAATCTTGTCACCTTGAATGTTTGAACCAATTTCAGTCAAATGTTTACCCAATTCAAATACTCCAGGTACATAGGTGTAAAAAGTTCCAAATGAACCAAAATCTTGTCACCTTGAATGTTTGAACCAATTTCAGTCAAATGTTTACCCAATTCAAATACTCCAGGTACATAGGTGTAAAAAGTTCCAAATGAACCAAAATCTTGTCACCTTGAATGTTTGAACCAATTTCAGTCAAATGTTTACCCAATTCAAATACTCCAGGTACATAGGTGTAAAAAGTTCCAAATGAACCAAAATCTTGTCACCTTGAATGTTTGTATACAATATGTATATAATTATAAGATTAAAGTTTCTTTTCATTATATTTACTCATTCATGATTTATTAACTTATATATTTATTTATTTACTTATTTATTGAAATATATGTTCACAAAACAGGAACCTTAAATATTGCATTAAGGGAAAATTCATTTACAGCAGTGACAGTCAGGCCTTATCAACACACAATGACATGCTCAAAATAACTACTAAACAGTACACTAGACAAAATATAAGTGTTCATACCCTTTTGTCTTGTTTGACTTTTTTGTGGGTTTGTCAGAAGCTATGTCTCTACTGTCAGTCACCATTTGTTCATCGGCGTCTTGCTGTTGAGTGTTTTTAAGTGTTTTCTTGATGTTTGTTACCTGAAATAATAACACATTTGTATTTGTAGGGTTTTCAATAGTTTCATTATGTCTTTACCAGTTATTTACCACAAAACCATAAAACATCTTTAATTATACATTTTTATCAGACAACTAATGTTTGCACTTGTTCCACCTGTATAATTTGTGCACTATAAACAAACTTCTCTGTCATCAACTTCATGCTGCATGTGCAGTAAATAAGTTGTTTTTATTTCAACCTGATATCCTGTTCCGTAATTTCTTGCTTAAAAACCTTTTAAAAATATGTAATTTCCTCACTCAACAGGAAAGTAAACAAATATAGGGTTGATTTGAATAATGCTAGAAAGAGTCATTAAAATAAATGAATTCAATTTTAGTAATCCAGTAATACTGACAAAATTCTGAGTCAAAGAGTTTTACTTTAAACCTTTATTATTGAGGAATTGTTTGTTACTAACTTGGAGGCACATCACCAGTCACCTTAATTAACATGAAAAGAATGCCAGCATATAAATGGTTTTGAGTAACAACCTTACGCTTCCTCAACACATCAACATGGCCAGAAATCACACAATTGTCGGAGTTCTTGACCTTTCATTTACATCTTTGTAATCAACAAAACAATGTATATTTTTAAGGTGTTATTAGTAAGAAAATTCTACCTCCTGGTCAATCTTCTGTTTGATTGCTATATTATTCTCCTTGTTTGTGTTAGCTTTGGAGATCTGCAACTCAATCCCTGACAACACTGCCTCACAACCATCACACCTGTACACAAACAAACATCTATATTTATATTTGCATGGTTATGTCATTATATAAACTAATCATCAAGGATTGTGAGTTTAAGGTATGATAATGACATCCTAACACATGACAATTATGATATCATTACTATGAGGACGAGAACTCATAGCTTACCATCAAAACAGGTGTTCCACTTGACCTGACCGCATGGATTATGATAACAAATAATTTATTTCAGTTTAAGTCAAGTTATCATCAACATGTGGATTAAATGGAAAAAAAGCAATGAACTGTCTTTTAATTTGCATTTATGAAAGATATAAATGACAAGAGTTTTGCTGACAAAATTTCAGCATTTATAACGACTAAAAATACCATATCACGATACATATTGTCCAATGCTTAAGACCACGCACGGTCAGTTGTGTCAAACCAGACACCTCTGATTTTCACTTGGGTTACGACAATCTATGCACCAAGCCCTGAGGATCCTTCCTCCTCTGATCTGACGGCTAAACTCAACTTTGCGCTTGTCAACTTATGAACATTATCCCTATGGGTTAACATTTTCTTAACTTATTTCCAGGGGCTGAACAATTCTACTATATAATCCAAAAATCATAGCATGACCAGCAATTCCTTCATCATCCACATAAGACATTTCTGTTAACATTTGTGCTGCTCTCAGGTTTACAATCCTGCTGGATACTAATGCATATAATCCAGGGCCAGGATTAGATATGACAAAGATGAGAGGCTGCATATTTTTCAGCTACCCACCAATCCTGTAGAACATTGATGATTTCTGGGACAGCTTCCTGTCTGATGTCACGCCCGAGTGCAAAGTCCACCTCTAAATGTTGGTTTTTCTGGTCGAGTTTTCCTCGGATGATATCAGCATATATCACCTCAATAATCAGATCCTGTTCAGTAAAAGGTCACAGGTTAAAGGTCACATCTTTATGTATTTTGTATACTTGATATACTCTGATATGAATACTACTTTTTTTATTGTATTACTCATTTACATTTTGTCTTTTTTTTTCCTCAATCAAATATTGGTAGATTATAAGTTGTTAAAATTATGGAAGACTGGATGAAGCGTGGTGTTCATCATCAGTATTCAAGAGACTCCAATATTTTTTGTTAAATGAACATTGCAAATGTACTAAACATGTTTGTGAAATATCCATATTTCAAAATGAACTAATATGTACTACATGTGATTTGCTGGAAACAGATTACATACCAGTACCATGGTGAATGCTGTTCCTTGTGCTAATTGTACAACACTTACTCATATTATATATTTGAATCATTCCTGTAAAACCATTTTAGAACAAAGGAACCCAGAAGATCTTGGTGCCCAACATCATTTAATATTTATTTATTCTTTAAAAGTTAGACCTTTTCCCTTTTATTCTCTTCTTTTCTCTGTATTTGCTTTAAACTATATGAAATTTGGAAAATCTTCAAAGAAATAGCAATATGATTCTTAGTTGCCAAACCCAAAGTGGTTTTGTTTTGTTTTTCTGATCAAACCAAAAATTAGAAGGGCACAACTAAATGAACAAAGGGGAAGTTCATACAAAATTTGATTTAAAGAAAGTGCGATACCAAACTTTCACAGTCAAAATCCAAGATGGCTGCCTGTCGGTGATTTAAATTTTTTTCTGATCAGTCGCAACGTCAGAAGGAAATAACTAGGGACCAAAAGGAACTTAAATTTGAAATTTTGGAAAGTCTACCTTGTACATCTATAGAAACAGCAGTGACAAGAATTGTTTACAGATGGATCACAGACATAGAACAATAGTCCACCTCTGATAATTGTGAGATAAAAAGCATTAAAATATGATGCTGACCATTGTGAAAAGTGAGTGTGTTATCCACAACATCACCAAGCCATCAAGGAAATATAAAGATGTACTTTTGTATATGTCACCCAAAATTAGTCAACAATTGACTCTACCTTTTAACCTCTCACCTACAGCCAACATCCTGGATACTCCAGGTGTTATGATCACTTTCGCTCTCTGCATCCTAGAACATGTCATAGCAAAAATTGAAGGCACAAGCGAAGTTATTTGATTGGTTCCAGGTGAAAAAAAACTGACCAATCACAGGCTAATACGCTCGATTTGAAGATTACCAATGAGCGACACCAAACTTTGAAGCCATTACATTATACTGTTATGCGTTCTCCATATTTGTTTCACGTACATCAAAGGATCAAACTAGTCTTGTGGACAAGGTGTCACATATGGAATCTTCAATTTTGCCATGAAATGTTCCAGGGATGTAGAGAGTGATAGTGAGCGTAACACTTGGAGTATCCAGGATGTCCTAGCCATTTGCCCAAATATGAATCCTCTCATTTCCTGCCATTAAACCAAACTTTGCATATCCAGTCTCCAGTAACAACTTAACATAAACACATTATTATATCAATGTACATCATATCAAAATATAAATGTATTTGGGAAGCACTGTACCTACCTCTAATGCTCTCAAATGTGGAATATCTAGTTCCTTCAACAGCTCGGCATAAGGTATACACTGTGTATGATATAAATATTGATGATATTATTCACCTTAGCTTAATATCCTAGCATTGAAATGTACAGAGAATGTAAGATATATTGTGTCATGACACTATCATACTATCTGGTTACACACATGACCATTGTTGTGACATCAACAACCTTGTTAGACAACACTGAAAGACCTACCCATACTGATGTCAAAAGAGTGGAAAATTAGATATATAATAACTCTGAACAAAATCAATATTTTGGTATTATGATCCAATAACATGTATAGCTATTGCTGACAGGCTGACCTAAAGCCCTACCATGCTTTTTTTTTTATTTAGGTCTATCAACGATATACAGAAATGTGTGTTATAGGACTGTAACACTGTGTGTTAAAAGGTTCATTGCTTAAAATACATCAATAACTTAGAACTCTATTGCATCTTTCTGATATTTTTTTGCATGTTTGTTTTGTTTTTACATCATTGAATGGCCTCACAACATCCATGGTTTGGTGTCAACAGGGATCTCAAGAGTGGAAAATACAGAATGAAACAGAAGAGAGAAAAGAAAACATTAGGATTCCCCAAATGTTGCATTGGGTCAATAGATCTATTTTGATCCCTTGGTAGAAGACACAGAAGAAAACATCCAATTCTGAAGGGTCCCACTTTTAGTCACCTCCTACAACCATGTTTTTTATTACAGCAGACACTATTCTTAGGCTCTATGATGTCCCCTAAAAAGAGGTCGCCAGGATAACCATCCCCTACCTGCAGGAGGTACTGCAACATCAGTTACTTTTATTACCTTTGAATTTGACTTAGCAGCAAGTGACACAATGGTTAGATGTCGTAGTTTAGTTAGCTGGGCCGGAGTCAACTCAGGTAGTGTTGATGCATTTTCTGAAAAACATTATATGTAAATGATTAATTACAAAAAGATATTAATTGGATTTGAGATGAACATGATATATAAATTAACTTTTTATTGGTGAAAACATAGCTCCATCTAAACAGATACAAAACATTTTATTTGGCCAAACTGGAATATAATTATCTTTAGAAAATGTCATTCTTACCTTTGTAATCTTTGTAAGTTCCATAAGCAAATACATTAAGTAAATTGAAGTAAGGAGCATGGGCACCACTTGACAGCTAAAATTGCAAAAACAAATGGTAAGAATATAGTTATTAATTCATTATGATGATTCAGTACATGTCACCTTGTTAATATCATGGCATAAAGATAAATTTCATTCACAAAATACATTATGCTCATAAACATGAAAAGTTATAGAAAAGACAGAATTTTAGATCTCACAGTTAAGCGGTATCTTTTATAGGCTCTTCATTCTTCTGTGCCATGTAACATGTAGCAAATGTTAAAACATTGATTATATACCTCCTGAATGTTTGGCATGTCCAAGAGTTCACCAAACACATAAACGCCTGGGGCCTCAAGTGCTTGTTTAATGAGTCCTACGGCAGCAGCACCTTTCATTGTCTTTGCCAGGAGAACAAACTGTTCCAGGGGGTTGGTGCTACTGCTTTTCTCAGTTGCCATGATAATAATACACAGTGAAAAATTAGCTTAAGAAACTGAAAGAAGAAAAAGAAAATACACTTATGTAACTTACATTGACAAATAAAAGCAATCTGGAACATGTCATAGCAAAATTGAAGGCAAAAGTGAAGTAATTTAATTGGTTCTGGGAGAAAACGATGTTCTAGGGGTGCAGAGAGAGAAAGTGATTGTAACACCTGGAGTATGGAGGATGAAACTGAAAAGGCTTCAAAGAGCTAAGTTTAAAACACTAAGTATATCTGTGTTAACAATAACAGTTTTAGCAGCAAGTATTGTTTCAATCTGATGGTAAGTGAAACAAACCATCACCAAAAACTTTTAATATTAGGTGAGAAGAATTTTATCAGACAGAATAAAGGTCTAACTTCTGTTTAGTCAAGAACACTTGAAAGTCTTTTTGAGGAAGTGATATTAACATATGAAGAAATATGGGAAAAGAATTAAGTGTATATCAATTGTGGAAGAAATGGGATGGAATAATAGAGATATAGTCAACTGTTTCAGTGGTCCTGTGACCTAACACTGTATTTTGAAGGTTGACTCTGTAACCTAATATTGACCAAACTTAACTCTGACCAAAGGTAATGAGTTAAAACTAAATGACATACTGACACGAGAGAAATTGATACATCCTATGCTTTTGAGGACAGTCTAACCACAAAATAGTATTTGTCATATCCTAATATATTCTAACCTGACCGACGTGATAGCATTAACAAGCCTACATTTCATTGATGTTTCAGAGGGATATGGGATCTTTAAGGTGGCGGGAGGGGGGGGGGGCTATTTCCCTAGACTGAAGGACCTGTACCATTGTACCATTGTCACTGAATGTCAATGTAAGAGTGAGATGTCATTATTTGTGTCAGTGCATCTGCTCGGATTGGAACCCGGAACTCCTGACTTGCGAAAGAGAATTTTCTCTAATGTAGCCGGGTGGTATACTCTGGCTAGAATTTCACCAGGACTACATAAATATGCTCATATTACACCGGTGCCAATACATTAATAATCACGAAGAATGTCTATTCAAACCAATACAGCATAAACGGATTTGATACAATGGCATGTTCCCGGAGCTTCCATACCGAAACTTTCGGATGCCGAATCTGTAATATCAACGAGTTTGTGCCAATAGATAAATATATTTGAAAGTAATGTGAATTGCATGGTTATATATGCTATTAATGCATAGAACGTGCGGTATTTATCTATCAAATGTTGACTTACGGCTTATTTTGGAAACAGTCGTACAGTTTCTCTTATGCTCTGTTCTCTATCGGTAAATTTCGATAGTTCATGAATCTCCAGTCGGAACCTCTCTACCGCTCAACTTTCGGTGTTCACTTCCGGTAAGTCATCGGAATACCTCGTAGATGAGCCAGATGATGATAGCAGCAATCTACGCAGTTATTTCATCAGATTATACATAAAATTTAAGAAACTATTGGAGTACACGTATTTACTCGAGCCCTTGGGCTTCAAGCCCAGGCTCTAAGAGAAAACAAGAACATGTCAGCCAGACTTGTTCTATCTAAGGCTTGGAAGCACGGGAGGCAAGTGGTTCAAAATGTTATCCGTAACAAAATCGGAAAGCCGCCAGTTGCCGAGAGGGCAAAGCCTGTTAACATCGGCAAAATCCACCAAGAACGACAGCTTTTAATAGGGAGATTATTTCCTCATCTTCCCACTCGAACGCTGGCGAGTGAACTGCGCAGAAGAGCTGCTACTCGTTTTGCATTGCCCGGTCGACCAACTCTTCTACCTACTTTCGCTTTTGCCTTTGCTGGATTTGCACTCCAAGGTCAACAACAGGAGACTGCAAAAGACGATCTTTCATCAGAAGTCCGAGTATGCAATACTATTAAGTCATTTAACGTGTATTTTCATGTCAAATAACTTCTGCTTTTTATATTTTATCAGGTCTAATGAAATAAAATTATAAGGTTGTATCACTCTCTGGTATAACTATCATCAGGTCCAGGAAAACCACAAATTTACGTATAATTCCAAACTGGCCTATTACACTTTAATTGTGGTATGAATTTATTACTGAAATAGATTTAACAGTAACTTTTGCTATATATTATTGAAACTCGCATTAATTTATGACAAGGTAAGTAAAGATGTTTACTGAAAGTTTTGTTACTTAGAAACTTGATGCGACTGTTGCAGCATAGGTAACTGTACTATCGTAACATTGGCTATATAGGCCAGAAGTGCTGCATGTATTTTCTGTACTTTCCCACACAAATTAATTTTATTTTTGCTGCTGTATGATGTTTCATGATTGAATAAATGTGACTTTGGCAAAAAATTGGAAAAAAGTATAGGTTTAAAGTGATTTTGACTGTTTTTAGTATTAAATCCTTATCCAAATTAAATTCCAGTGTGTCCTGACTTCATCATTCCATTTGTAACTATTTTAACCATAGAAATCTTTAGGTGCCTCCTTTGTTATGGAACATTCAATCTGCATAAACAACAGGACCTTGGGTTCAGTCCTCAGCAAACTGATCCTTGTTCCTACATAAAATCATTGGGATATTGATGAAAATACATGTAGTTAACCTTACTAGGTCTAGCTTCTCTAGCATAACGGTCGTGCCCATACACAAATTCTTTCACAGATGGAAATTATGTTACCTTGGTAAAATACTAATTGCTTCCTACCCGCTCAATAACGAAGAATTTCTCTATAGCTCCAGATCAATTGGGAGGTCATTGGTTTCTATGGCAGAGATTCTGAATTTAATTCCTAGTAGGTGCACTGGAAGAATAATTACCTCTTAGTCCTCAGCTCTATTGTTGTCTGTCAAATGGGTTTTATTATGGCCATCTATCCAGGAAATATTTTTTTCATTGCTATAGTTGATATGCGACCTGTGCATGGGCCTTTTTCTTTTTTAAACCAAAGTGTTGTAAATTCGCAATTCATTATCAGGGAAGAAACATTTCTGTTGACATATGAAGTATGTCTGGTCTTTTTCTGACTTTGCATGTATATGTACTACCACTTTTTCAAGCACTCATTTGAATATGACCTGTGCATTTAGCAAGCAAGCTGTTGAAAGAAACAAGATCTTGTGATATGTACCAATTTCAGTTGGTGGTTTAGCAGTAGAATTTATTCAGTGGCTTGTTTTTGTACCATGCAGTTTCATATGAAGTGTTCATGCTGTTGTGTTTGCATGTACCTACATGTATTATAAATTGTATTTATTGTTCCTGATGCTCTTTAGTGAGTGCTTGGATTTGTATTGAATCATTGATAACCACTAGAAAAAGAGCCATATACATCTGATAGAGCAGGTTTATTAAAACTGGTAAAATTGTGATTCATTTCAGGAAATTTTCCATGAGCACCATGAGAAAGGATCCATTTTTGACAAAGTACAACAACTGTCACTGGGAGTTTTCGACTTGGGGAATCTGATTGGTCAAGGCTGTAATGCTGCAGTGTACAAAGCAAAGTTCAAAGCACCTCAAGATGAAGGTAAATGTAAAATTAGAGAGAAGAAATATTTCTATATTTTAAAATTTTCAATATTATTTGTAGACTTCATTTTTACAGTATAGTAACTTAATACGAAGCAAGATGGCAGTAACTGTGACACCAACTCTTTCGTTCTTACTTTTAACACTCCAATCTTACCAAAACAAAGTGTTGGCGAGGTTGTGTATATCCCAAATCCACTTCAATGCTTCGGTTGCCGAAATATTAGTCATCTATCTGATAACTGTAAAAACAAAAAGTTTGTGCTAAATGTGGAGTTGTGAGCCATGAAGATGGGTCAGAAGATGGGTTTGTGATGGTCAGACTCACTGTGCGAACTGTGGTAGGAGCATCCAGCATATTCCAGAGATTGCTGTGCTTGGTGCAAGGAAAAAGAGATCTTTCGTGTCAAGTGCATCAAAGCCTTCTTCGACACAGTCATCACGAACACCACCATCACCATCAAAACAGAATGAGAACCCTCAATCCCCATGAAAACCAGCTCCCAATCAGAAAGTGAAAAATCAGACTGTGCAGAAAATCCAAATTTCCTCACAAAGAAGGAAAAAAGGGTCTGATGACCCAATTCACGCCTTTCATATGGAGTACCAGGTAGTTACTTCAAAATCCTCCAAGATCTCTATCAAAGCTGTCAAACCCACCTTAGGTTAAAGAAGTAGTCTAGTTATTTATCTCTATTTATGTTAGTAAAAATGGATACAATAAGCCAATGGAATTGTAGAGGTCTTTGATCTAATATTGATGAAATTCTCTGACTGTCTCCAGAACATAACCCTAGTGTCCTACAGTGGTTGGGGAGCTGATAGAAAAATTTTGCTAAGACTCTATAGAACTCTTAGACGATAAAAATTAGACTACGGTTTAATTGTGTATGGATCTGCTAGACCTTCATATCTCAAATCATTAGACACTGTTCATCACTAGGGTCTGAGGCTCGCTCTTGGAGCTTTTAAGACTGCACCTATAGCAAGCCTCTATGCAGAGGCTAACATGCCATTACTATATAGCTGTCAAAATAAATTGGCTTTGAAATACACCATTCATGTAAAGTAAAATCCCGCTTTTTTACTTCTATTTGATCCAAAATATAAAACCTTGTTTCGAAACAAGCCAAGCTAATGATAAGGTTGCTGCGGCCATGGTTTCACAAGATGAAACTTATGGATGCTGACTACTGAACAACGCCTCAATATTCGCGATGGAAGCGCAAGCTATCTACCTCGCCCTTGAATAAATTCAAACAAAGTAACTAGAGCTGTTATCCATTCAGACTCTTTTTCTGTTCTACGAAGTCTCAGCAATAGAAATATCGAAAATATTTTCATTCCTAATACATTAATACTATATCATGAACTTGCCTTTAATTTTTGTTTTGCTTTTTGCTGGGTTCTTGGGCACATGGGAATACCAGGCAATGAAAAAGCAGACCGTGCCGCAAAGGAAGCTTTATCGCTACCACCTGTTGTTTTTAAACTTTACTTTACTGATTTTAAACCATTTATCAAACAATTTTTAACAGCTCAGTGGCATAATGAATGGAATCAATATACCAATAATAAGTTGCATTCTGTAAAACCTATCATCGGTGAATGGTCTCCATGCTATAGAGACAACCATAGAGACGAAGTTGTGCTTGCCTGTCTTCGGATGGGCCATACATACCATACATATCCATATATGTTAAAAGGTGAAAGATAATCCTCAGTGCAGAGGATGTGATGAGTCATTCACCATCAAATATTTTCTATTGGACTGCATTGATCTTCTGTCTTCTTGAGAAATTTTTTTCGTAATGTTACAAGTCTAAAGACCCTTTTTGAAGCTGTTGAGATTTCTAAAATTCTGTGTTATCTGAAAGATGTTGGTCTTTATTATAGACTATGACTTATCATTTTAATCTTTCGGCCATTTAATACAATATACTCATTTAAGATTTTCAGCATTTGTCTTTTACCTTTCAGTTTGTTTGGTTTTTTTCCCCTTTTTAATTGCTGTGTGTTTCACCATTTGATCTTTAATATGTTGACGAGCTGTTAAGGCTGTTATCATAATAATTATAATAATTATTATTATTACGTAGTTGTCCTACCTCCAGAAAGTGACACGGAAAATGATGCCTTCCTAGATGACATCAGGAATGGAAATGATGATGACTCTGACTCTGTCTTTGACTCTGACTCTGACTTTGTTGTCCTTGGAGACTTATCTGATCAGGAGGATGAAATGGCAGATGATTCTCTGGTCATTTGTAGTTCAGGTGAGAATCTCAAAAAAATGATTAATTCATTCATTCCAGACAAAAGCTTCTTTACTCAAATAGAAACGAGAGTACTTGATGTAAACCCTTTGATTAGGGAATTCGGAATTCATTCTGTCGATATTTTACAAACTGAAAAATCAAATTGTGATGCATAAACAAGGGCAATTTTCTAAACCTACACCTCTCGTGCAAACCTTACTAATGAAGAAATTCAATGATTATGAAACAAATTAAGAATGAACTTGTCAATGAAATGGGGGTAAGCACACAATGCATGTATGTTGATTGTATCTGAATAGAATTTCATATTACAACTTTGAAAGTCATCACAGCTTGTACTGAGCAACGAAAGTATGTGAAGTGTGTTTGTTTCACTTCCCTTGAAGAAAACACATAAATTGGATTAAGTTCATTGTCATGTTTTGGTTGAAGCAAACACAGCGTCAGTAGTTTGCATATGGAGGCAAGTGAAAAATTATGTGACTTTGTGAGTAGTAAACCATAATCTTGGAATGTTACCATTGTGTAGGGGCACAAGGAGAGACCACTGTAACAGGTCCTAGCCTGGTGGAAGAACAAGAGGAGACAACTTTTCCCGATCCTCACCAAGAACAGGAGACTGATGACTATAACCTGGCGATAAAAATGATGTACAACTATGACATTGAGTCCAATGCAGATGCCATAATGTGTGCCATGCTAAAGGAAGCTGTCCCAGCGAGGTGGTTGACTGTCAACCAAGATGATAATGCGCTCTGGCAAAATGGGTAAACTTTATAATATAAGATATTGTGTCTGGTAAATATTGTGCTTCACTAGATAAATTATGTTATGGTAAATATTGTAAGTGTCCTGACACAATCAAATATTTTTTGTTAGATATTGTGTCTGGTAAATATTGTGCTTCACTAGATAAATTATGTTATTATAAATATTGTAAGTGTCCTGACACAATCAAATATTTGTTGTTAGATATTGTGTCTGGTAAATATTGTGCTTCACTAGATAAATTATGTTATGGTAAATATTGTAAGTGTCCTGACACAATCAAATATTTGTTGTTAGATATCATGAATGTTGTTCACTTCAAATATTACAGAAATCTGCATGTGTTCAAACCAGAAAAAACTTGTGTACAAGAAACACATGCACAGTTCAGTTTATAACAACACCAGAGTAGCTTACATCTTGCTCTTCATCTTAGAGATACAGAGTTCAGGGTTAAAGGGTAAAATATCACTCTTGACCACTCGTAAATGATAGTAAAAAGTTTCATTTTAGGGTCAGGGCTGAATGGTCAAGGATTGCACTTGATCACTTATGTGGTTTTTTTTCAGGAACCGAGTTCGCCTGAAATCATTACCAGCCCACCCCAATATTGTTGAGATGTTGGGTGTGTTTGTAGACCCGTTACCAGATCTGCCCGATGCCTTGGATAACTATCCAGCTGCTCTCCCTCAAAGACTGAACCCTCAAGGCCTTGGGCGTAACCAAACAATGTTCCTTGTGATGAAAAAGCAAGTTCTTGAATCATTTCTTTAATTTTCTGTTTGATATTGGTAATCAAAAACATAACTTGCCTTGTTTTTGAAAATTTATTTGTTGAAAAATGTCCTTGCTGAATAGATTTTCCAAATTGTCACTGTTTATGTGAATGATGTGTGAAATCAGGGTTAACTCATGAAAATCTGTCACAATTCGAGAATACCTCAGGAGCCTGTGAAAAGATCTAAAGACTGAAATGATGTAGAAAAGTGGCACTCAATTACGATTTGAATGTTTTAGGAATGTTGTGAAACTTTACTTTCTTGAACAACTCTGTTTTATTTCATAATAAGTTTTATCATGGTTGGTTTGTAGGTATGATCTAACACTGAGACAGATTTTAAGGCAGGAGGAGTTATCTCCCCATATCAGGTGTCTGCTTCTCTGCCAGCTGTTAGAGGGCTCAGTTCATCTTAAACAACACGGAATCGCACACAGGGATTTGAAGAGCGACAACATCTTATTGGATTGTCATAATGGTGATTGTTCAGTCAACTAATAAATGTTGATTTATGAATTAATTTGCTCTTAAAGAATTCCACCAAAATCAACAGATTTATGTGAGTCATTATATCTGGAACTGCTTATGTTACCATGAATGTATGATATTGTTATCTTTGAAAACAGTCCATTACAAGATCTGAAATTCATTTAGAAAAACAGCTTAAATATTGATCAATAGATACATGGAACAGACTCAATGGAAACAAAAAAAGGTAGCAATTGTTTGAGAATACAACAACTGGTTTATGTTTAGAGTGTTACTGCCATGGCATGTTTATTCCAAGATTTTATTACATATCAATCCCGTCTTGTGTGATATGAATACATTTTTTTCTGTTTTAGAGGGCACTGCCCCTCATCTTGTGATAAGTGATTTTGGATGCTGCTTAGCTGACGAGGAGAATGGTCTACAACTTCCGTACCCCACTATTGAAATTAACAAAGGAGGAAATGGAGCATTGATGCCACCAGAGGTAGTTATATATGGGGTGTGGCATTAAAGCAGAGACGGAAAAGGAATTATCAGATATCAAACTACGAAACATATTATCTTGTAATTGAAACAAGTAAAACATTTGCTGTATTTCTTATTTGTGTCAGCTTATTCTGGGATATTTTTAATGGAAGTTTTAATTGCCCTATCATATATTGTTCAGTAAGTATCATCTGTCCTGTAACATGCCCTGAGTGGCATATAATAATGTTGACTCAAAGTCAATGCTAATAGTAGCCCAAGGAAATAGCATGTGTTGATAATTCTGCCTGACAAGAATATCCCTGGTACATAGGATTGGTTTTATTTCTAGACATTGGCTTATTTCTGGTTTTATTTCCAGACATTGGCTTACTTCTGGTATTATTTCCAGACATTGGCTTATTTCTGGTATTATTTCCAGACATTGGCTTATTTCTGGATTTATTTACAGACATTGGCTTATTTCTGGTTTTGTTTTCAGACATTGGCTTATTTCTGGTTTTATTTCAAGACATTGGCTTATTTCTGGTTTTATTTCCAGACATTGGCTTATTTCTGGTTTCATTTTCAGACATTGGCTTATTTCTGGTTTCATTTCCAGACATTGGCTTAGTTCTGGATTTATTTTCAGACATTGGCTTATTTCTGGTTTTATTTCCAGACATTGGCTTACTTCTGGTTTTATTTCCAGACATTGGCTTATTTCTGGTATTATTTCCAGACATTGGCTTATTTCTGGATTTATTTACAGACATTGGCTTATTTCTGGTTTTGTTTTCAGACATTGGCTTATTTCTGGTTTTATTTCCAGACATTGGCTTATTTCTGGTTTCATTTTCAGACATTGGCTTATTTCTGGTTTCATTTCCAGACATTGGCATAGTTCTGGATTTATTTTCAGACATTGGCTTATTTCTGGTTTTATTTCCAGACATTGGCTTACTTCTGGTTTTATTTCCAGACATTGGCTTATTTCTGGTTTCATTTTCAGACATTGGCTTATTTCTGGTTTCATTTCCAGACATTGGCTTATTTCTGGTTTTATTTCCAGACATTGGCTTATTTCTGGTTTTATTTCCAGACATTGGCTTATTTCTGGATAAAAATGGTTATATACCATTAGTATGTGATTTGTTATTCCTTATCGTAATGTATGCTATATTTTTGTAGAGTTTCATGTTCCTAAGCTTTTTAGGAAAAAGTAATCAAGACTCTTAAGCTTTGGTTCTGATTAATAGTTTCAATATGACAGCTGCCATTTTATGGTATTTTAAACAAATTTTCATTAGTCATCATTAGAAACAGAATTTCTTGCAATATAGCTAATGCAGAAGTTTATTTTTCATGTTTTATTTGTCGGTGTTACAGTTTCATCGAATTAGAGTTAATTACTGAATTGTGTAGACTTATAAAACCATCAACTAAAAATGCTTCGTGGTCATTTACAGATATCTTGTACAGCACCAGGACGTAATGTAAAACTGGACTATAGTAAATCTGACCTCTGGGCAATTGGATCACTTGCTTATGAGATATTTGATCAAGATAACCCTTTCTATGGTGGAGCAAGGATCACAAGGAAATTAGACGGAAGAACTTACCATGATAGTGATATTCCATCAATGTTAGGTACTGGTGCCTGTGTTCAGTTGAAAGTTCAATTTATACCTGTTACAAGATTTCATTTATAAAGGGGTTTTATAGAATGTCAGCGTGAGACATTCCATGACACTTGACATTGAAATGATTGAGGTTTCCTTACTATTCAGCAATCGCTTGACATCAAGAACAACTAATACACTTAAGGCACAATGACCACTACCCAAGGACCCTGTCTCTTACAAATATAAACAAGGCACAATGACCACTACCCAAGGACCCTGTCTCTTACAAATATAAACGAGGCACAATGACCACCACCCAGGGACCCTGTCTCTTACAAATATAAACGAGGCACAATGACCACCACCCAGGGACCATGTCTCTTACAGATATAAACGAGGCACAATGACCACCACCCAGGGACCCTGTCTCTTACAGATATAAACGAGGCACAATGACCACCACCCAGGGACCCTGTCTCTTACAAATATAAACGAGGCACAATGACCACCACCCAGGGACCCTGTCTCTTACAGATATAAACGAGGCACAATGACCACCACCCAGGGACCCTGTCTCTTACAAATATAAACGAGGCACAATGACCACCACCCAGGGACCCTGTCTCTTACAAATATAAACGAGGCACAATGACCACCACCCAGGGACCCTGTCTCTTACAGATATAAACCAGGCACAATGACCACCACCCAGGGACCCTGTCTCTTACAAATATAAACAAGGCACAATGACCACCACCCAGGGACCCTGTCTCTTACAGATATAAACGAGGCACAATGACCACCACCCAGGGACCCTGTCTCTTACAGATATAAACGAGGCACAATGACCACCACCCAGGGACCCTGTCTCTTACAAATATAAACGAGGCACAATGACCACCACCCAGGGACCCTGTCTCTTACAAATATAAACGAGGCACAATGACCACCACCCAGGGACCCTGTCTCTTACAAATATAAACGAGGCACAATGACCACCACCCAGGGACCCTGTCTCTTACAAATATAAACGAGGCACAATGGCCACCACCCAGGGACCCTGTCTCTTACAAATATAACGAGGCACAATGACCACCACCCAGGGACCCTGTCTCTTACAAATATAAACGAGGCACAATGACCACCACCCAGGGACCCTGTCTCTTACAAATATAAACGAGGCACAATGACCACCACCCAGGGACCCTGTCTTTTACAAATATAAACGAGGCACAATGACCACCACCCAGGGACCCTGTCTCTTACAAATATAAACGAGGCACAATGACCACCACCCAGGGACCCTGTCTCTTACAAATATAAACAAACACACCTATTCTTTGTTTCCTTTCTAGACATTTTTACTTTGATTTCATTGTTATATAGACAACTTGAGGTTGATGTTTAGATAACAAAACGAAAAAAAACAATATGGAGCTTCTGATTAATAAGTATTTCATTTGTTTAATGAACCACTGATAATTTTTAATGAGCACAAAGCATGTAAAAGATGAATTTGTATAGCATAAATTATTTCATTTTTATCTCATTTTGATTCTCTCCTGAAAGGTGATGTTCCTGATGTTGTCAAGTTTTTGGTTCCAAGGATGCTTCATCGTGATCCAGCTCAGGTAATATAGCTTGGAAAAAATGAACTGGTCTTTTCTGTGGTTCCTGTGCTTGTGTTTTCTGTACTAATTTGTTGTTAGGTGGTGTCGATGTATCTGAAGTAGGATTTAATATGTGATATTCTTTTGGTAAAAACGTTGCAAGCAATGTGAGATATGCAAATTTTAATATTAAGTTTTAAATAAAGATTGCTGCTGATTGGTCTCCTGTTAGCAGTATATAATGATTGTACAGTATTTCAGTGAGCTGTATGTTACGGCTAGCAATTTGTTTATCTGTTATAGAGACCAGAACCAGAAATGGCTGCAAACCTGCTCCAGATTTACCATCACTTCCCAGAATGGTTACGTCCTGGAAACACACCATCAAAGCAGCACATCACTGAAAACGTGATGTTACTTGTAACACAGATGTTAATTGGCTGGAAGTTAAAAGGTGAAAGGTTATATACAGTGGAGAAACAGCTACAACTCACTTTCCTGAGAAGACTGGTCATCTCAGATTTGGTGCATGCTTTGGCATATTACCATGGAAACTGACTTACAAAACACTTTCATTTTGTGATTTCAACTTGTGAGAAAGAGCTTTACAGATTATATTGAAGAACAATTCTACAATTTTTAGATTTGATGATCTTTGAATTTGCTTTAATATCTTTACTATAGGTAAATGTATGATATGTTATATTTTACTTTGCTTGTCATGTAAGAAAAACTTTGAAGACAATAACTTCTGAAAAATCATTTCTATAAATAGACTACCATGATGTGATATACTCTACTACAGAGGTGTTAGACTAAAATTATTATCTGCATTACATGGAAAAAATATAAATATTATTGAAAAGTATTCTTATTGAGTAGAGATAAGATTCTGGGATTCTGTTATTTCCCTTTAGTTATTTTTATTTTACTTGGAGAAATAAACCTCGCTTTGTTATTGATTTTAGGTTGTTGTTGTTTTGTTGTTTTATGTAAGATGCTGTAGCTGTGTACACAAGCACATTAAACAACTGTAACAAAATGTAGTCCCAAATCACACCAATGTCAAAAGGCAAATTATAAAAAATTTTAATTTCTATAATTAAGTTGTATATTAGGGCGAGGATGACAAAAGAGTGAGGTCCTAAAAGCAGTACAAATTAAATAAGATATAATTTGTCTTGTCAACTTTGTTATTCTTATAAATTTTCACATGATGCTAAATTAGGTACTCTTCCGTTTTTAAACAGATTCCATATCAAATTTAACTTAACCATGAAATGTGAAAATAAAAAATCTGTTGCAATAATTAGTTTTGGAATAATGTGAACATAGAATTAGCAAGCATGGTGGTAGAAATACCATTGTATTTGTTGTCACCATGAATTGTCACCAACTTTGACTCTGGCATGTACTGTAAAAGACATTTCTGTATTAGGAGTGTGTAACAAGGTGAATGACAATTCATTACTGCACTGTACAACCTCCCAAAAAAAAATAGACTAGAGAAAATATAAAGCATGTGAACAGTTATTCTTGGGTGAGTTCAGCTGTCATTCCCACAATTACGAACCTTATTTCTAAAACATGGCAATGAATCAATTAATTATACACAATTACCAGTGTGTGACTGATTTTACAGTTCACTAGCTCAGGTTTTATTTGACTACAATTCACATGTACACATATAACAGTTCAGCATACACATCTGTAAAAATATACCAGTGTTTACTCATCATAGGTGACGGGAGTTATTTGGAGATGCAGACAGACATGTATATGCATTATATTTACAGGAAAATGAGATTTTCTAAATCCACGATCAAATATGTAAAAATCTTCTCGATAACCAAAAAGCCAAGGATGATGATATTAAACCTGTAGCATGCTAGAATGATATGAATGACATTAACCCACTTTCAAGGTCACAGGTATCCAATGTGTTAAAATGATGAAAGGACTTCTTCTCTATAACTAAAAAGTCAAGGGCCTTGATACTGGGCCTGTGGCTTGCTTTTTCAACAAGCAATATGTCCAGAGTAATGCCAGTTATGTCGTGCTTGTAGAAAAAATATGATTTCAAATTTGAAGAAAATGTCTTGATGAACAAACAATGTCCTCTATATAAGATGAAGAACAATTTGGCAATTCATTTTAGGCCTGTTTTGCCTCTTTCATATATAGGTCTTTATAGTCAGATGACCATTAAGTCTCATGGGCCTCTTGTCCTTTATACTGCTTTGTTGTATGAAAACACTACTACATGTGTATAAACAGCCCCTAATTGATTGCAAAATTTATACCTGTAAATTAATCTACACAATAGTTATTATTTTATCTTCATTTAAATAAAAAATAATAGGGGCAATATATGAGCTCAACCATAAATCTCAGTGGTATTTTAATACTTCAGTGATAACTCAAAAGTGACAGATAAGTATAGAGTTAAAAGAGAAGAGGTTTTAGGTGTTGATAGGGTGTATGTAATATGGTGAAGGAAAAAGAGTAGAATATATGACATGCTGAAGGGGGATGAGAGGGGTTACATAGAGGTTGAGATATGTTCAGAAGTTGTTTGAGGTAGATATAGTTTATGGTTTATGGAGAGAGTACAGAGGAGATGGGATATGTTTCTGGTTAGAGCACTGTACGGCTGGTAGGTAGGTTATGGATGGGTTGATAAAGGTATCAGAGTACAGTAATATAGAATTCATAGGCAGGGTACTGATAGCATTTAGTGTATAGCCTTGTGAGGTTAGTAGGCAGGGTACAGATAGCATTTAGTGTAGAGCCGTGTGAGGTTAGTAGGCAGGGTACAGATAGCATTTAGTGTAGAGCCGTGTAGGGTTAGTAGGTACGGTACAGATAGCTTTTAGTGTAGAGCCTGTAGGGTTAGTAGGTACGGTACAGAGAGGTTTTAGTGTAGAGCCTTGTGAGGTTAGGCAGGGTACAGATAGCTTTTAGTGTAGAGCTGTGTAGGGTTAGTAGGCAGGGTACGGAGGGGTTGAGATAGGTTTTAGGGTAGAGCCGTGTAGGGTTAGTAGGCAGGGTACGGAGGGGTTGAGATAGGTTTTAGTGTAGAGTCGTGTAGGGTTAGTAGGCAGGGTACGGAGGGCTTGAGATAGGTTTTAGTGTAGAGCCGTGTAGGGTTAGTAGGTATGGTACAGAGAGGTTTTAGTGTAGAACTGTGTAGGGTTAGTGGTACGGTACAGAGAGGTTTTAGTGTAGAGCCAGGTAGGGTTAGTAGGCAGGGTACAGAAAGGTTGAGATAGCTTTTAGGGTAGAGCCGAGTAGGGTTGGTAGGTAGGGTACAGAGGGGTTGAGATAGGTTTTAGGGTAGAGTCGTGTAGGGTTAGTAGGCAGGGTACGGAGGGGTTGAGATAGGTTTTAGTGTAGAGTCGTGTAGGGTTAGTAGGCAGGGTACAGAGGGGTTGATATAGATTTTAGGGTAGAGCCGTGTAGGGTTGGTAGGCAGGGTACAGAGAGGTTGAGATAGGTTTTAGGGTAGAGCCGTGTAGGGTTGGTAGGCAGGGTACAGAGGGGTTGATATAGATTTTAGGGTAGAGCCGTGTAGGGTTTATAAGCAGGGTACAGAGAGGTTGAGGTAACTTTCGGGGCAGAGCCGTGTAGGGTTGAAAGGAAATGTGCAGTTTCTGTTGAGATTTTTGTGTAGAACACATACAGTAAGGAGTTAGGGTATGGAGAGGTTGAGGTAGGTTTTGAGGGCGAGAAATGTAGGGTCAATTGGGAGGGTGCAGATAGGTTTCTAATTATTGTGTTATAAGGTTGAAAGGCAGGGCATGGAGGGGTTGAGTTAGGTTTTGAGGATGAGTATTCTATGGTTGATAGGAGAGTCTAAAAACGTCGGTTTAGGCTGGTAGAGAGAGAGTACAGGGAGATAACAGTCGGTTTAGGGTTGGAGTAGACTGGTATAGAGAGTACAGGGAGATAACAGTCGGTTTAGGGATGCAGTAGACTGGTAGAAAGAGTACAGGGAGATAACAGTCGGTTTAGGGTTGGAGTAGACTTGTAGAGAGAGTACAGGGATATAACAGTCGGTTTAGGGATGGTGTAGAATGGTAGGGAGAGTACAGGGAGATAACAGTCGGTTTAGGGTTGGAGTAGACTGGTAGAGAGAGTACAGGGAGATAACAGTCGGTTTAGGGTTGGAGTAGACTTGTAGAGAGAGTACAGGGATATAACAGTCGGTTTAGGGATGGAGTAGACTGGTAGGGAGAGTACAGGGAGATTACAGTCGGGTTAGGGTTGGAGTAGACTGGTAGAGAGAGTACAGAAATATAACAGTCGGTTTAGGGATGGAGTAGACTGGTAGGGAGAGTACAGGGAGATAACAGTCGGTTTAGGGTTGGAGTAGACTGGTAGGGAGAGTACAGGGAGATAACAGTGGGTTTAGGGTTGGAGTAGACTGGTAGAGAGTACAGGGAGATAAAAGTGTGTTTAGGGTTGGAGTAGACCGGTTGAGAGAGAACAGGGAGATAACAGTGGGTTTAGGGTTGGAGTAGACTAGTAGAGAGAGTACAGGGAGATAACAATCGGTTTAGGGTTGGAGTAGACTGGTAGAGATAGTACAGGGAGATAACAGTCGGTTTAGGGTTGGAGTAGACTGGTAGGGAGAGTACAGGGAGATAACAGTCGGTTTAGGGTTGGAGTAGACTGGTAGGGAGAGTACAGGGAGATAACAGTCGGTTTAGGGATGCAGTAGACTGGTATGGAGAGTACAGGGAGATAACAGTCGGTTTAGGGTTGGAGTAGACTGGTATGGAGAGTACAGGGAGATAACAGTCGGTTTAGGGTTGGAGTAGACTGGTAGAGAGAGTACAGGGAGATAACAGTCGGTTTAGGGTTGGAGTAGACTGGTAGGGAGAGTACAGGGAGATAACAGTCGGTTTAGGGTTGGAGTAGACTGGTAGGAGAGTACAGGGAGATAACAGTCGGTTTAGGGTTGGAGTAGACTGGTATGGAGAGTACAGGGAGATAACAGTCGGTTTAGGGATGGTGTAGAATGGTAGGGAGAGTACAGGGAGATAACAGTCGGTTTAGGGTTGGAGTAGACTGGTAGGGAGAGTACAGGGAGATAACAGTCGGTTTAGGGTTGGAGTAGACTGGTAGAGAGAGTACAGGGAGATAACAGTCGGTTTAGGGTTGGAGTAGACTGGTATGGAGAGTACAGGGAGATAACAGTCGGTTTAGGGTTGGAGTAGACTGGTAGAGAGTACAGGGAGATAACAGTCGGTTTAGGGATGGTGTAGAATGGTAGGGAGAGTACAGGGAGATAACAGTCGGTTTAGGGTTGGAGTAGACTGGTAGAGAGAGTACAGGGAGATAACAGTCGGTTTAGGGTTGGAGTAGACTGGTATAGAGAGTACAGGGAGATAAAAGTGTGTTTAGGGTTGGAGTAGACTGGTAGGGAGAGTACAGGGAGATAACAGTCGGTTTAGGGTTGGAGTAGACTTGTAGAGAGAGAGCAGGGATATAACAGTCGGTTTAGGGATGGAGTAGACTGGTAGGGAGAGTACAGGGAGATAACAGTCGGTTTAGGGTTGGAGTAGACTGGTAGAGAGAGTACAGGGAGATAACAGTCGGTTTAGGGTTGGAGTAGACTGGTAGGGAGAGTACAGGGAGATAACAGTCGGTTTAGGGTTGGAGTAGACTGGTAGAGAGAGTACAGGGAGATAACAGTCGGTTTAGGGTTGGAGTAGACTGGTAGAGAGAGTACAGGGAGATAACAGTCGGTTTAGGGTTGGAGTAGACTGGTAGAGAGAGTACAGGGAGATAACAGTCGGTTTAGGGATGCAGTAGACTGGTAGAGAGTACAGGGAGATAACAGTCGGTTTAGGGTTGGAGTAGACTGGTAGGGAGAGTACAGGGAGATAACAGTCGGTTTAGGGTTGGAGTAGACTGGTAGGGAGAGTACAGGGAGATAACAGTCGGTTTAGGCTTGG